GTTTCGAATGGAATTATAGGGGCACAATTCCTAAAGCTCTTGCAGAACCAGGTTAGTGTTCATGACCAAAACAAACACGTCTATGAGGATATGGCCTTGTCAGGAAGAGTCCTGTGAGATTTACATTGTTGTCTACGTAAATGGCAGCTTAGTTCAAAGACATCGAGATCTACTAACTGCTAGGAGATTAAGTGTAACATCTTAAGGTAGGGTTCAAAGGGTAATACCTACCTATCCTATGCAGGATTCAACTGTTGAAAATTTCGTTTGGAAAGTGGATGTGCAGAGATCGATCTCCATTCATGTGGGGGATTGTTGGAAAATTTAGTATAAATGTTTATATTTTTACTAACTTTGGACATATATAAATATATACATATGTTGTATATATAGCTAACTCTAAGTGGGTTTGTGTTCTCCTCCACGAGGACTTCGAAACGATATATTATATGTCCAAAATGGAGTATATGTGAATGAGATATTGATACTCAAAGAAGGGTATTTGAGAATAAGTTTAGCAAACTCAACAAGGTGTATAAGCTTGAATGCATGAAAGACTTACAAGCTTGTGTCTATGGTTTTACTACAATTCCTACCCGCGCGCAGGGGGGTGCAAATCTTGAATTTCGTAGACCAAAAACACCGAACTTGTGAATGGGCGCGACCTGCGGACACGAATGCAGCTCCGAAAACTCGGGCACGCGCTACCCTCGTTTTTGCTAAACTTGACAATTTTGGTTCCTATTTTGAATTTTGTAACAAATGCATTAATTACGTAATTAATGACATTTATTGGCATTAAACGCTCAATCAAATATTGATTTGTTTCCATTACACGATTCAAGTATAAAAGGAGACCTTACCATCTCATTCAACACACGAATGAAAATACTCTTCTTTCTCCTCCTTCTCTGTACTCCTGCTTCCGACGACTCTTTCAGGCAAGTGAAATATCCGGCAGTACACCACTGTTAAGGTTGTTGTACCCTGGGAACAGACGGCGAATCTGTTTAAGGGAATCGAGTCCAACTCGAGCCTCAGCCACCACGTTTGCTACTAATTTTTTCTTTACAGGAAACTTTCAAGAGGAAAAACGAAGTCTTACACTAACAGGGACTAATTGTGTATATTTTTTTAAAAAGGGACTACATCTGCAGTTTTTTAAACAAGAACTATTTTTTTATTTTGTTAAATATGGAACATTTCTGTATTTTTTTTAAACATGAACTATTTTTGTTGAAAGAAATAAAATTAATCCTTATTATAGCATTGTCATCCAAATAGATTTGAATTCCGGTCATTATTTATTTATATTAATTCATTTACTATGTATTATTTTTTGGTATTTTTAGTTTTCAACCCACACCCGTGTATTACACGGGTTTTAACCTAGTAAATAAATACTGAAAATGCTTTTTATTTAACTTATTAATTATATACTAATATTCTAAACCGGATTTACAGCATATAGTCTAAGGCGAAGAAGATGCAAGATTTTGTTGATATTCTTGTTGGTAGTGTGAAAATATACTAGTATGTTTGAGGTCATGTTGCACTGACTTCATGTCTCGAAACTTTTTTTATTTCCATATCATATGGTGTTGTCTCTAGCTATGTGGATGTCTTTATGAAATGGTCCAAAAGTTGTTTATTTCCTTGTTTAATAGTATTGATGATGGTTAAATTTTTTCATAAATTCTCTTTTTAATTTCTAGATTTATTTATACCTAATTGGTTGTTGAGATAGAGAACAACCTTTATGAGATTTTTTTTTCATCTAAATTCAGACAAAATAAATACAGCCTTGAAGACATTTGTTTACAAGACATGTCAAAAACTATGTGAATAGACATATCAAAAACCATATTCACTTGATACAACTTAAGCATGAACTAACTTCTAGCCTTTTTAAATTTGGATGGTCGATGAATATTACTTTGGCTTGATAATAAATCGTTAATTAATTATCCATAGTCTATTTATAGAACTAATAGGGATAAGCTTCTTAGTTTGGTTTAATTGGATTTGACAATGCGATGTATCAAACATTTTCATGCATCTCGATATGTTTAAACAGATTTGATAATATCATGACAAATTCAAGATTCTCATACTTCTCAACTTGATTCAAATATAATTTAACAATATAAGAATGTATTACGTAATGTTGAATGTGATAAACCACTAGAAATATATACTTTACTATTTTTTCTAGTTTTTTTATTCCTTTTTCGAAATTAATTCTAACTTCGAAAGGTATATGTAAATCACTTTATAACATTTTATTATCATTGTCTTACTCTTTATATAATAATGATAACTTGCAAATGACATCTAGTTTTTGTATTAGGCTATATATAAATAAAGGACAAAACTGCAAATTTGGTCCCTGTGGTATTCAAAAAACTTTGGATAGGGTCCAAAAAGTTTTCAACTTGCATGGACCGTCCTTTTTCTCAATTTGTTCTGATTCTCGTCAATATGAGCTTTCAAACAAGAACCAGTTGTTAAATGATTATTAAAATCTGGAAGAAGTAAGAAAATCAAACCCAATTGTATGTCTGTGTTCGATTTTGATATGTTGTATGTGAAAATGGCGATATTTCTGGAAAAAAGTGTGGGTCAGACTAGAGTCTGTGGGCAAAAAAGTTGAAGAACAAGAAGTTCAAAAGTGAAGCCTACCCCAAGATGAAGCATCCCACCATCTCCTATTTCTTTCCCCCCCCCCCCCCCCCAACCATTTTTCAGAAACCCATATCTACAAGCTTTTCTTTCAATTTGAATCTGCATTTGGATCGAGATTTGCAGGGGTGTGAGTTTTTCATCATCAATTTCTGGGTTTTGCATCATTGTGTGTGTGTGTGTGTGTTTATTTGCGCTGTATGTGTATGAATGTGTTGAAGAAGATGAAGTGATTATTACAGCAAGCCATGAACGATTATTACATCAGCAGGGGTGAAGAAGGCTCTGTATCCAGAGACGGTTCTTTTTTAGAAAGAGGCGAGAGAAGAAACCCATAGCATATAGTCGTCGATGACTACTTCATGAGTGTGTTAAGGTATACGATAGTATGTGTGAGAGAGAAGGGAGGGTGACTAGAAGCTCTGATTGTGATGACGGGATTGTTCTGATGATACTTAAGGTGTGATTAGGACTTGGAAACCCTCAATTGGACCTTAATTCCTCACATTCGATGTCGTGTCCGTCATTACTAAACGTGGAAGGTAAAATTATCCTTTCCTGAATCTCTCTTCTCTTCTTCTTGGTTGATTGCTCATGTACGACATCCTCTTCTAACTACTTTTTTTGTTCTGAAGATGATGTTCTTGGGAAGAAGAGACAGGTGAATGAAGATGGGGAAGAGAGAGAGAGAGAGAGAGAGAGAGAGAGAGAGATAAAACGGTGGGGGTAGGTGGGGGTGGGGGATAATTCTTTTTTTTTCTTTTTTTTTCAAATAAAAAAGGTATTAGAATGATTATAAAAAATACAAAAAAGAAAATAAAAAGGCAAAACCGTCTTTTCATGTTTTTTTGGACCAAAATCACAGTAAATTCTTGATTTTGGACGGTCCATGCAAGTTGAAAACTTTTTGGACCCTATCCAAAGTTTTTTGAATACCACAGGGACCAAATTTGCAGTTTTGTCTAAATAAAGCCTTCTAGTCTTTCGTTTTATTCATTCTAAACCTTTTATCACTTCCATCGATTATTGTAATTCTTTTATACCTTCTCATTTAGTCGACATTAATACATATCAGTGTTGGTGATTTTAGTGTAACCATATTATGTTTGGTGTAAGAGAATCTACAGATTAACAATGAAGTTCAATTCTTTATTTAGACAAGTTATGAGGTGCCCCCAACCTAACTTGACCCAATCTATTTAATTAAATGAGTTTAGATTTCCAATTCAATCTAACTTGTTGTAGACCGTAAAGTGCTCCTAATAAACTAGTTGCTAAGATCTAAACGAACTCCTTATTGTGAATATGTATATAAAACTCTAGGCACAACTATTCGCAAATATAACTATTCCATGTATGATTACTTTAGAACAATTTAAGAATATATTGCAAGAAAATTGATAATGCTTTTGAGGTCCTAGTTGTCTATAGTTCGGCCATATAATTTCATTTAGCGAAATACTAAAAGCGAGTGCACAAGGCATAAGCAATGAGTTCAAACATTTTGAACTCTTTATAAAGGAAAAAGAGGTAATGGTGACTTGTTCATCAATTGAACAATAAATCTTCCTTTACAGGCCTCTACTAATAGTCAGTATTTATAAAATATATTTTTTCATGAACTAAATTTACAGTGATTTCTACCCCTAGCCATTTGTCAGTTTGTTAGTGATAAAACCTATGTTCTATACATAAGAGTTTAACAATTTTGTATAACTTCACCATAATACAAGTAACTAAAGTGTAAAAATGACACTCTTGAATGATGAATTCACATCAATCTTACATCCAATAAGGAAAAGATAAAATTATAATGTCCCAAGAAAGATGTCATGGTTTGAACTTGAGATCTCATTTATAAATTTTCACTTTCTTACTGTTAAAACAAGCATACAAAGACCATAATATAAACATAAACTTTGGATTAAGAAATAGCAATGTACTTTTAGTGACTGAATTATTATAGCATTCTACTTTCATTATTATTATTTTTTTTCTATTATAGCATTGTATTTCATAAAATCTACCAAACTATAACAATGTCATCTAAATACAAAACAATGTTCTAATAACATTTTCATTTTTTTACTTCCAATAAATTCAAAAATCTTTAACCCTTTACATCATAATTACGCTTACTCATATACAACTCGTTAAAACATTCAAAGAACAAATCAAAAACAAATATATAGAGAGAGCAAGAATTTGAATAGCATAACCTCATTAGAAACCGTTTTCAAATTAAACAATCGGAATAAATTTGAGTTTTCAACATCTCATAAACCTCGATCCCCTTGGGGTGTCGATTCACTTTGTCTTTAATAAATTGTTTTTCTGAACAAGAACCAAGCAAAGAATTGTGTCTCAATAGCATAAGACAAAGAAGAAGGGTACGCACATAAACAAGTCAACTCATACCCCATCTCATTCACCAAAAATCCAATCTTCATTTCAAGAACTTCTTTCGTTTGGTTTACAATTTGAGGCGAAGATTTAAGCATTTCCACCACATCTTTTTGGTCAAACCCCATGTTGACCAAACAATCAAATCGTTCTTGAAGCTCGCCAGCTCGCCCACGAAACCTCTTGAGGGCCCGCTTCATTTCATTTGAATCTTTTACAAATCCTAAGTCTAATAAAAACTTTGTTTTCTCTTCGGTGCAATCTTTTGATGATGGAAGTGGTTTGACTTTTGTTCCAATTGCTAAATTTTTTAATTCTTGTGGGTTTTTCATGATGATGTCACAAAGTCGTTTTTTCCCTGAATTTAAGGAATTTAAAGCGGTTTTCACACCCTTTAAAGACCATGACCCGAGTAAATACGGGTGGGTGCAAAAAAGCTTTGCAATGTTGTCAACTTCCATTTCAATGTCCAATAGGAAATGATATGAACGCCTTAAATTGTAAAGACATTCTTCACCCTTAATTTCAGGGAATTTCATAAAAAACGAGAGTATATTGGTTTTTGTAGCTCCAAATTTAGTCAAGAAACCGATAATTAAAACGGATGTAGTTCCTGAGTTATTTAATAAAAGGGTCGGGTGTTGATTGACTAATCTTCCTAATTGCTCGTTTTCACAGCCTAATCTTTTAAATAAACACAAAAGCTCAAGAATATGTCTCCAATCGTATGAATTTTCCTCTGATAAATTCTCGATAAACCAACTATTCAATATCCCAGAACTCTTTAGTTCCTTTACAACCTTAAGAACATCATGAATTGCATCTGGAATCAAAAGTGAAGGACATAAACCCACTAGCTTGATAACAGTAGATTGATCAAGAATGATGTTTTGAAGATCATGAAGACGTGATGATAAAACCTCGTGATTATATCTAAAAACTTCTTTGGCTTCCTTGTAAATCTTTCCTATCTTATTGGGAGCAAATCCATATTGACAAAATACATGATAGTTCTCTAGCAACACATTGTCGTCACTTAGAAACATCAAGTTTCTAGGCAAAAAAGTTGAGAATTCATAAGGTTCCAAACCCATGCTCTCAAAAAAGGGCTCGAATTCGTTAATTGGATGGTATCTCAAGTATCGAGTAACAAATTGCCCAACATTTTCTTTATTCTTCACCCCTTTTAACAATTTTCCAAGAAATTTTGGTGAATTACGACTGATATTTTCTGCATCCACAAACTGCAAGCTTCGAGTGGAATGCAAGTAATCTAACAAAGCATCTTGAGCTTCTCGACAAGCTACACGAGACCACAAACCGCCCTTTCCATCATCGGGTAACAAATCATTCAAATTTTGACCGTTTTTGGTCTTACAAGCGGCTTTTGTGGTATAAAACCTAGGGTTTTGGGTATCATGGTATGACCCATTTGGGCGAATCGATTTTGTTGAAGATATGAAGTGGTTTCCAGTCAAATCAACCAATACCCATCGGAGGAAAGATGATTTTTTAAGATTCTGTATATGATACATCAATAGTTTTTTAAGATTTTGGCAAGATATTGATGAATGTGGGGTTTACTAGAAAGGCAAATTACTTTATCTTTGTGTAAGAAGATGAAGAGATGATGGAGAGGAGGATTTACCTTGTTATCCATATGGTTTTCGTTTGATGGAGAGCTCTGATTGTCGCCATCGTTGTGGGTTTATGAATTCTAGTGCAGTGGCTGGTAGCCATTAGAGAGGCTCTCATCCAGGGTTTATGGGTTTTGCATTTGCGACCATTTGTATATTCTTTTCTATCCCTCAACTTTAGGGGAAGACATGTAGGCCCTTGTGGTATACGAAATGAGATAGATATCCCTCATTTTGATTCTTTTATCATGGAGAGTGGAGACTATTACAATAGAGGGTGTGAGGAGGAGAGATCTATTGAGAAAGAAGTGGAAAGATAGTCTTACGTTAGACTTGAAGAAGTTAGCCTTACGAAGGATATGACCTCAAATAGAAAAATATGAAGGCTTAGAAATTAGAACTAGAGGTAGCGGAGTATATTCGGGTAGTCTAGGGTCTAGCTTTCGTTCCGATATATGTGTTTGTCGGCCAATTTTTCACATCCTTACTTTTGTTTTCCTATTTACTTAAACCATGTGTAACTAGTATCTACTTTCAACTTACTTCTTATATATGGTCTCACTACTTGCGTATTTATCATGTTTTACTTGTTGACATATTACCTCTCTTCATGTACAGTTTTTCTTTTCATTCAGACATATTCCACTTTAATTCATATACGTTTGATGTTTTCTGTGCATGGATTACTTCAATGTAGGCGCTATTTTAAAATTTTACTTTTATTTATCTGTTTGTATCTGCTTTTTTATTTTTTTTATCGAAAGTCTCCTATGAAAGCAGTCTCTCAATCCTATCTTGGATGATGTCGGCCATCCTACCCCCTACCCTATTTGCATGAGATCGAGGTAATGTTGTTGTTTTTCTTGGTTCTAGCATGTCGTGAAGCCAACTCCACTCAAGCTAGAGCATTAGAAAAATACATCAAATTTGGTGTAATATACCAATTTCTTGTTCCACCAACTATACATGGTTATTACCATGTTAGAAATCATATATTTTATATAAATTATTGTTATTATCATTATCATTATAAAACTTAGAGCATCTGCAATAGTTAAGATATACTAATACTTAAAACTATTGTCACACTATCATTCTAAAAAATCTAACATCTAATTAGATTTAACGTCCGTAAATCCGAGCTAGTCAATTTAGAGACAATGAGCGTCAAAAATGATTTTTTGATAGAAGATTATTTAGAATAAATAATCTTAACCAAATTATAGTATATGTCACAAGGTTCCGTACATATAAAGAACGCCGAAATCCGAGTTATAACGAGAAGGGATGACCTTGTCGAAGTTTTACGGCAAAACCAACCAACCGGCACGGCACCGGGAATCGTAAAAAGTTAATTTTTGATAAACTACTTTTTAGCCTTATATATCTAAATGAAAGTTGTAGTATATGTTAAACCGAGAGCGTACATAAAAAGAACGTCAAAATCTGACTTCGTATGAGGAAGTTGTGATTTTTCTAAGATTTCGCATAACAGTATACAGCCCGGAATTCGAATATTAGATTGGCCGATTTTTAGCCGACATAAACTAAACAAGAATCGAATGTCTCGTTAATAGTAGCTCAATGGTAAAAATACAGACGAAAACGGACGTCGGATGAAGAAGTTATGAATTTTTAACGGACTTTTCCTGTCTCGGCCTGTTAAAAATATAACTTTAAAAATAAATTCAAAATTAGCCAACGAAGTCTAAACGAAAGTTGTAGAGTACGATCCCACCTACACGTGGATATAAATAACGTCAAAACCGGAGCTCGTATGCAAAAGTTACGGATTTTAGAAGATAATTAGTTTTTACAGTAACCAGCGAGTGACACGTGGCACAATCTGAGCCGCACCTTCTTCCCCACGGCTTTGCATGAGATCGCAACATGTGGCACATTACGCCCAGCTTAATTTTGAGTATGCTTAGCGTAACCCTTAAAAACCCATTACGCTCAGCGTAATTCTTGAGTACGCTTAGCGTACTCGGCGCTGGCAGCCTATAAATAGAGGCGTTTTTTCCAGCATTTTTCTTCACACCTTTTCTCAACTTCTCTCCCAAATACCCCCAAAGCCTCAAGGATTTTCTCTAGCCTTTCTTAAGAGTTAGTAGCGAGTCCCAGAGCGCCACAAGGCCCCGAGAATAAGAGCTTTCGACTCAGAAGTTATGCCCTCGCAGAGCCCGGTTCTTCGCTAAACACCCTTGTAAGTGAGTTATGCTTACCCTACTTTAAGTATAACTTATGTTTAAGTTCATTATCGTTATTATGAACCAATAAACAAGATTTATCAGTGATTCCAAGTCATTATGCTGATTGATCTACTTACGGGGATGATGTCTAGGCTGTGATTTAGTGAGGTGTTTAAAGTGAGATTTCCAAACAGTATACTTCGTATACCAAACGGACCCTCCTCCGATATGATCCTACCTGGTTGTTGCTTACTTGATAGATCATGAAAATAGACATTGAGTTAATGATGAATATATACTAATAATTAGTCGCAATAAAGATTAGAGTAAAACTTAGCGATAATAATGCTAGGTTTCGCCAAAGGAAAATAGAATCGTTAGAAGCGAAGCGCTGCCCGAGTTTGGAATCATCACTTTAACAAGTGAGTGCATAGTTACTTTCATCTTACACATAGATATGAAGTATTTAATACGTGCTATCTTTGCAAATTATATGTGTTCTTGATATCTATGCTGGATGAACAATTTTATACATGTTTTAGTGATTTAAGTTGTATAAGTATGTTATATCTACAAATGTGTTGGGTGAAACATGGGTAGATGAATGATGGGAAATGAAAGATGATATAAGTAAACATTAACAACTATGGATTTAGTGCTTTACGGACGAGCATTGGCAGCTATGGACTTAGTGCCTAATAAATAACGTCGGTAGCTATGGACTTAGTACCTGTTAGATAAACGTTGGTAGCTATGGACTTAGTGCCCAGTAAATGAACTTTAGCAGCTATGGATTTAGTGCTTTATAAATGGACATTGGCAACTATGGACTTAGTGTCTGTCATATAAACCCTGTAAGAAACAGACTTCGGAAGGAATGAATGCAGGATAGATGATACTTAGGGTAGACCCTTAAGAATAAAGAAGATAACGGGAATGGGTAATTGGGTTAATCGTTTGATGATTAAACATAATAATTATATTATTGTGGGTTGAAAACCCTATGTACTCACCAGGTTTCCCAACCTGACCCACTAAAGAGTTTATTGTATCACATGTATCGATATAAAGTTACATTACACTGAGAGATTAAGGAGATGTAAATCACTAGTGTTAATTAATGTAAGTTCTGTTTATGCTTATGTAACGACGTAAATTTCCAAAACAATTTTTCATTTTCAATCATATTAAATTTCATAAGAACAATTTCAAAACCCATTGTATCACATATTAACTCAATAAACACACCCCAGAATCTCAAGTACATAAATCTTCATCAGTGTGTACAGATCATGTCGGCGCCTTCCCCGCGATCCCGCTAGTACCATCAAACACAGAGCCACATAACATGGTAAGCATAAATGCTTAGTGAGTTCCCCAAAATACCACATACAACACATACGCCACTCAAGGCCATAGCTCTATGGGACCTTCCGATCCATGTGTCTCAGGGAACTTCCGTCCCAACCCTGGTAGACCTTCCGGCTCTACCCGTAATGACCTTCCGGTCCTCATCATCTTGACCTTCCGATCAATACATTGTTGACCTTCTGGTCCATATCATAATGACCTTCCGGTCCATACCATACTACTCATAACATAACATAGCACATACATATCACATAACAACATATATCACATATTCTGCCTAGCATATAAGACCTTCTGGTCACACATAATTACCACTCTAGGTAAAGTATAGTGAGAAGACTCACCTCGTACGAAGTCGGATAAACTCTCGTGCTTGACGTCCCGACCTAGCCCTCCTCCTATCATCCGAATAACATTCCTGATCATCACTCTCATAGTCCTCATCTCTAAAGATTGGGTAGAATGCCATTCTAAACCCCGCCCTTAACTTTCTTGAATCAGCTTGACCAAAACCGAAGGTTCAACTGAAGTCAACGGTCAAACTTTGACCCGACTCGGCGAGTGCACATGGGCCACTCGGCGAGTCCATGCGGGTCCTCTGAATCCTTCTAACCTCACTTGGCACGTCGAGTCATCCCTTCACTCGACGAGTTACTAATCCTGTCAACGAATCGCGGGGCAACCCCGACTCGACTCGTCGAGTCCACTTAGTAACTCGGCGAGTTGCGTCCATGGCAACACTCCAAATGACCTTCTGAGGTCAGATCCGCTTCTCTAACCTATAGATCTGACCTTTCCATACCCCCTAATCACGTAAAGTAAACCTTTACACTCATGCAACACATATATGGTTCCTTTGAAGAATAGCCCTCAAAAATGGCAACCTAAGTTCATTCCTTCCATAACACTTCAATAAATCAAATGGATAATGCTCTCTGGACTCTCCTATGGGTCCAGATCCGAAGCCTAACACATAAAGGGACCATAAACTCATCAATTCAAGCCATAAAAAAAGGTATAGAAAACCCTAGATTCATAGATCTTAACCAAAACAGAAGGAGAGTTCGATTTGCTACCTCAAACACTGCAGATCCAAGCTTGGAAACCACGGATAAGCAATCCTCTTGACCTCCTCTACTGGAAACACCACTTCTTCTGTGCAAAACAACACCAAAAAGGATTAAAATGGCTTGCCTCTCACACACAACTCGCCCAAGCTCTCTAGGGTTTTCTCCTTTGGACTGGTAGCCCCAAATGAGGGCTATAAGGACCCTTAAATAGGGCACAGGCCCAAAGATTTAGGGTTTCTGCCGCCAGCACGGACTCATCGAGTCCACCCATGGACTCGTCGAGTCCCTTCATTAATCCAGTCAGCAAATCGTAATCCTACTCGACGAGTCTAGGTCAACTCGTCGAGTCCCTCCTCAAAACTCAAAAGAATACTCAAACTGCCATGCCTG